GTAGGTTTTTGTTTTATTAAAATTTTAGTTTGTTGTTCTCGACTTGATTTTTATTTTATTGACCTCATCTCCATATTTACTATTTGCAAATAGGCAATAATATTGTAGGTCCATTTTATTGTTGTTCTTTCTACGCGCCGTCATAACACATTTTCATCTCATCATTTAATTTCTGTTGTATATATATTGTTGTATAGAAGATATTTCAAAGTGATTCATCAGGTGGAAAACGAAGTTTTATAATAATGAAGTGTACGAAAAACAGGGCTAACTCGGTAACCTGTGGCCCAATTTTAACAAAACTTGTTTTATTCTGTTTTTATTCTCATTTTATTACAAATATGGTGCTATTTGCACCATTTTTGCTGTATTTAATTACAGACAAGCAAACACACAAACAGTCTCAGAGTTTTAGTAGTATATATATATATTTAGATTGTAATATTCTGCTTAATTTGTACCTTGTTTTAATCCACCTTGATTTTGTTGACCAGATATATACTTATATAGTAGGTTTTTTGTTTTTGATAAACAGAAGGAGATGAAAGGTGTTTAGACACCTAAGAAAGTAGATTTTTTCTTTTCTTAAGGCAACATCAAATTTACAAAGGAAAAAATCAGTAGTACATATTGAGAATTGTTTAATCTCAAGCACACTGACTACATTTAAATTGTATGTCAAATGTAAACTGCCAAATAGAGTGAACCACAATATGAAATTCTGCAAGTAGAGATCATATTTAATTTTTTTTTCTCTCTTCTTCTAGTTAAACGAAGACAGTCCTCTCATCCAAGGAGACAGTGCTGACACTTCAATGAAACAGAGGCTTGATAAATTCTTAAAGAGGCTACAAGAGGTAAACTTGTAACATGCACTTTTTACTTTTAGGGAGGTGATTATCTTATATCATGGCTACATAAGCAAGTCTGTACATATTTTTGGGTACTTACTAAATGATGGCTTGTGTGGGTCTATTGTTGTGAAGATATTTATAAATGACCTGATTACTTTAGTCATGGCAGGTTTTAACATGCCTGCTAATTTTAGCAGTTGCCACATACTGCCAAATTACATTATATTGAAGTGTAATTTCCGATGTTGAAGTAAATCGGTTATGTGAACTATAAACATTAAGTTTAAAGAAAACATGCCTTTAACTGGGCCTTTTATGACAAGATCACATCTTCTTAAAATTAGGTGTTTGTATGGTGGAAAGGTGACACAACTTCACGTGTTTGCAGTGACCATTGTGGTGGCTAAGATTTTCATAATCTCAAACCTTTAAAACAAACTTAAATACATGTTCAGTTCATTTGTCTCAGAAAACGTCCAATGCAAAAATTCCAATTATCATGCAGAAACATTACAATTGGATCATACATGGGTAATATGTTACAGACTATTGGTGCTAATGGCATCACCTCTGTAAGAGACATTTTCATCCAGTCGTATTAATGTGTTTTTTTATCCTTGTTAAGTTTAAAAGTAAAAGCTTGCATGATAGTGTTATTCAAATAAAGAGGTAACACAGCATGGTAAGAATTTATAAATGTTACTATTTAAGAATGCACAGGAAAATTATATGTATGCAAGTGTATAGGATATGTAAATATGTATGTGATGGGGAAAAGAAATGGTTATTACTCCCATTATTGTTCTTATCTCACTGGACAATTTCCAAATATTGACGAGTCTGCATGCTTTGCATAAAGCTTGAATTAATGAAAGTGAAAGCATTTTGCTTACTCTAGTCATGTTTGGAGTTACAATAATTTTGTTAATTATTTAGGAACTTTTGTGCATTAAAACATAAAGTTTACAAGAGATGAATTTCATATTGAATTTTTTTTTTTGATTTGTGAAACCTGTGTATTTGTAATTTTTACCAAACTGTATATGGATTTTCCTATATATTAATCCTTTACTAGACTATAGGGGTTGAAATGTTTCATACTTTAATGGAAATCATTGTAATCACTTGATATTTGAATATGATTTACCAGTACTTTAAACCCTGTGCATATACCTGTTCTGTATATTAATAAATTTCTGTTTGTTCACCATAAAAAAAAAATCTTTCATTTCAAGTTGTCATCTTCAATTAAGTAAACTTTCAGAATTACTTCTTACTTATATTTTCTTTCAGTTTTCAACTTTTTTCAGCTTTTCTTTTTGGTACAAAATAACTGGAAAATGGAAAAATCCCTTAGACGTATTTTGGGCTGAGATTACCCTTGTAGTTAGTGTGTGAAGTAGCAGATTAAAAACTTTAAGGTTGAAGATGTAATACTTCTAAGTTAGCTCCACGCTTTCAGCTGTAGATGCATTAAAAGGGTTACAGTCAGTCCTGTTATTCTGTTCACAGAGCTGGACAAAGCTCTTGTTGAAGTGGGTGCTGCTGACTGGTTGCCATCTCTCTCTGGCAAGTAGTTCAAAATTAAGGACACCATACCTGAACCCACTTACCTGGCCATATTGTCCATGTGTTCATAAAATGGTGCCCAATTTGAATATTCCACTTTCTTTCTCTGAAATTGAAAGACATTCATTAGCTCAGAGCTTTGCCCACAGATTCCATATTTTACAGTTCTCTGCAGCAGTGTTGTTTTTTCCCGCTTATAATATACTATCCTTGCTAATTTACATGAGATTTTGAGACAGTTAGAGGATTCAAGATTATTCTGAAAGCAGCTTGTATAATTTTACTGATTTTGTTCGTCCATTGTAGCTGCATGAAGTAATTAGGCCAGATTAATCGTGACATTACTTGAAATGTTTTCACTATAATTCGTAGGAAAAATGTATATGGTCCCTATATGCCATTGCTGTTTTCATAGATGTATTTAGCTTTTAGTTACTGATTCTTTATTATATCTTTGTTTTACATTAAGTACTTCTCCTGAGCTATAACTAGAATTAGGAGAATCAACTGCTCGATAGCTATAATTTATTATTTTTCCCCCAGGTGATTGACTGTCGTATGCAAGCAACGATAATTCTTGATGATCCATGTGGAAACAGCTACCTCCAGGTATAAATAACTTCACAAGTTAACTATTTGTTCTCTGTGAAAAGTCATATTTGTTTCTTAGAATGTGGCATTCCACTTTAAGAAATGTTGCATCATTGAAATTTTATTTTTCTTATAAAGATCTGTGTATAACTATCATTTTTTTAATTGGGGATTTGACTTTTGTGTGCAGTCATCACATTGTACTTGTAGCAATAAGTTTAAACAATTGGTTTAAAAACTTATATTTCACACTATTTTAAACAGTATTATTATTATTATAGGATTGCTGTTAATAGAAGTTAATGAAATAATTTTAAGATGGTTCTTATACTGTCATTTTTATTTCCTCCAGTATATTCAATGTTAGTAGTTACATTATTGTTATAGTATTTATAAAGCAGGAAAACAAATAATTTTACTATTAAGGTTAAATTTTCAATGTGCATGATAAATGAGTTCCTGTTACCAGTAACATTGTTAATGTTATTGCTACAAGTAGCACAGTTAGTATGATGAGTAGATTAGTACTACCAGTAGCATGGGTAGCATGCTCAATCCATAACTACTACCAGTAGCATGTTCAATCCGTTACTACCAGTAGTATTCTCAATCCATTACTACTACTAGTAGCATGTTGAATACCATGTTATTACTACCAGTAGCATGTTGAATATCTTACTAGTACCAGGAGCATGTTAACCCTTTTTATACGGTTTACAGGTGAAAGGCCATGTCATCTCATTTGTTGACTCGCATTCAAAATTTTATTGAACTGCTATTTTATGAATTTATAGTCAATAAGTTTGGTATCTAAACTGTACATTATAATTCAA